CCCCAAAACCCCAAAACCCCAAAACCCCTTACTCTCAAATAAATAATAAAATGGAAACCAGTCCTGATTCCGTCCCAATACCCCTGACTACCCAGGTTCAAACTTTCAAAAACAATGCAAAATTGGTCTCAAAGGCACTCAAAGATTTCCTGAACTACAGCAAAAATCTCCATAAAGACCACTCAGATTTGGAAATTCTTCATAAAGATTGGCTTGGCCAACTGAATTCTTTAAAGCTGAAGGCTTATAATGCTGAAGAGGATGGAGACCTTCAGCAGTTTGAGGATTTACAAGAAAAGATTGACCAGCTGAGGCAGCTAATGGAGAAAGAGAGGAGGTTTGGCGCTTTTATGAGGAAGGTTTATTGGGAGAAACTTGAAGAGAGAGTTGTAGGTGAAAGTGGATCTGAAGAGAAGAGGGAGATGACTGAAGAGAGGAAGGACAGCCTTATTCACGAGCAAGCTGAAGAGATTAGAGAATTGAAAGAGCTGCTAAAAACTCAGAGAGTTGCTTCTCAAGTGATTAGTAAAGATGCTGAACAGAAAGTTTTAGGGAAATCTAGCCAATTGAAAAGTGATGTAGAGGATAAGAAATCTGAGGTTGTGCAAGGTGAATTAAATACCAATGAACTTTTAACCAACAAAAACGAAACAGATGCTCAAATAAATATAAGCAAAGAAGAGGATAAATCTATTGAGCCATTTTCCTCAGTTAGATCTGCAATCTCTGATGAAGCGAAAGAGGAGGAAAAAGAAGTCCTCATAGACAAAAAACCTGATATTCCCAAGAAGGATGTTAATCTACACTTAGATATTTCTGAGGATATAGAAATGGTTAAAGGCCTGACAAAAAGATTTTCTGAGCTAGGACAATTGAAAATCCATCATATTCCAGCCCGTAGTAAAGAGGCAAAAGAGCTCCTGGACAAGTATTTTCCACTCAAAGTCAACAAATTTTCATTCAACGAAAATTCTGCACTGAGCAAAATAGATTTTTACTCTGCTTCTTTACTCTCTAATGCAGCATGAGTAACAGGGAGTGTTCATCTTTGTAACTTTAAAATCTCTCAAACCCAAATGATTTCCATTCTCCCTGCTTTCAAGAAGGTGAACTACTTAGCGCTCTCCTCTTGCGTGCTAGCCATTCTATCGGTGCCTGCTTTTGGGGCTTCCATGAAAGGCTGCACGATTAGAGCCCTTGATTTGAACCATTCTGGAGATAAAGCTCATGGAAAATGGAGCAAGGACAACTCTTCCTTTGTCAATTTAATGACTGGCTTAGGCAAGGTCAAGTCTGTTAAAGAAAACTTGAAAATGCTGTTGATGCTTGACTGTGGAATCGACACAAATGTAGTCAAGAGGATCATGACCAGATGTGGATTCAACCTATTTCGTGTTACCGCTGATTAATTGTGAAGAAGTTGTGCTTTTGGGACAGGGAATTATCTTAAGTGTTACTATTATTCTGTACATTTTAAAAATCTTAGTTTTCAAGGGTAGATCGTACACTAGGGGTTTTGGGGTTTTGGGGTTTTGGGGTTTTGGGGTTTTGGGG